GTGAATTTTAGCTATAACGGTCTTTTTTCTGATTTTTCTAGAACAGTATGAGGAACACTACGCCGTAGACTACACATTTTTATATCATACATACTAGCTGAGTGTGCCCGGTCTTGCTCGGGATTCAATATTAGCTTGAGTTTATGCGCCGATTTAAAAAAAAAATGCTATATTGTACGTAGCCCCCCCCCCTATTATCTAAGGAGCTACCCCCTATGATTATCTCCTTATACCCCTACACTCGCCCCCACATGCCTAATTTGGTTCCATTTGCTTGATTAGTTCTCGAGTTATGCAGAAATTTATGTTTCATTTGTATGGGAGCCCCCCCTTACAGAAGGGGGAGGGGTCTCGAACCATCATAAGAACCTTCCACGGCCCCAAGAACCCCTGTATACAAATTTTCACGCCAATCGGTTCAGTAGTTTCCGAGTCTATAAGGGTCAGCCAGACAGACAGAAATTCATTTTTATATATATAGATGGGTGGAAAGTTTGTAGAACAGATACATTAAAATTCTTCAACTTTTTAAGATACCTTCGAGCATGAAACTAAGTCAAACTTCAATCAAATCACTTTGAATTGTCAACCTTTGGTCACAAAATTGGTAGATCACACATTAAGCTTTGCTATGGAATTTTTTTTACAGCAGTTTTCGCTGTTTCAGTCTCGAGATACAAATATTGTAAGCCGTAAATTACCTTAAAAACATAAAATTTACTTGAAGCACCTCTAAATTATCACCGATTTTGCAGAAAATTTGCACAGAAGTTCAAATTAACATGACGAACAGTAATCACGGTTGACCCGCTGCATCCCGAACATTTCTGTTAACATGAACAGGTCTAATGTGTATGAATATTTTTGAAAATTTTTCTGTTGGTGGATCAAATATTCAAGGTGAAATTCATCGTCGTATGCGCTCATTGGACTACATATTTCTTTGGATGGGGTTGGAATACATAATTTCTCACAACCATGTAGGTGTAGTGCTGCTCAAATATCACCTACGTTCCAGATATAACGAGCACTTCACACCAACCAATTAAACCCAAATATTTACTCATTGCTATTTCTCTGGGAACCATGTTTGTTGCAGATTAAAATAGTTTTTTACGAATTACATTAATATACAGTTGAAATTATATAAGATAATAAGTCATATATCATACAGAACAAGATTGTATGATGCAATCTGCACTGTTCTAAGCACTTTCAGCTAGAGAAGGAATGATAGCATATAATACACCAGATCGAATTAGATTTAATCACGTATACAAGCGAGGCATCATAATTTGAAATTTATTGCTGCGAATATACGTGCTCATATGCCAGCGAGAATCGCAGCAGGACTACGGAGCTAAAGATCTTTGGTTCTAAACTAGGTATTACAGGTAATATTAACTTTAAGCTTTAAATATGTTCATCTTTTAAAAAGATAACTCATTATATTTCAATTTCCAACTTATATTCAAACCAATATCACCAGGTAAAGGGTGATACGGTCAAAATTTGGTCAATATCAACTTGACGTATTTCTTTCAATTTTGCATTTAAAAAACCTGAACACCCCTCATTTTGAAGGTGTGTGTGTGTAGAATGTTGCTCCTATTTTGATTTTGGAATTCACTCTTCAGTTGTCAAAATGCCGTCCAAGCAAGAAGAGCAGCGTATCAAAATTTTGCTCACGCATCGCGAAAATCCGAGCTACTCGCACGCAAAGTTGGCAAAATCGCTAAAAGTTGCCAAATCAACCGTTACAAATGTAATTAAAGTGTTTGGGGAACGTTTGTCGACAGCCAGGAAGTCTGGATCGGGGGGAAATCGAAAACCGGAAGCCGCTGAGACGACAAAGAGAGTTGCCGGTAGTTTCAAGCGAAACCCTAACCTCTCTCTCCGAGATGCCGCAAATAAGCTGGGTGTATCGTCTACAACCGTGCATCGAGCCAAAAAACGAGCCGGACTATCGACTTACAAGAAGGTAGTGACTCCAAATCGCGATGATAAACAAAATACGACGGCCAAAGCGCGATCCCGGAGGCTGTACACGACGATGCTGACGAAGTTTGACTGCGTGGTAATGGACGACGAAACCTAAGTCAAAGCCGACTACAAGCAGCTTCCGGGACAGGAGTTTTATACGGCAAAATGAAGGGGAAAGGTAGCAGATGTTTTCAAGCACATGAAACTGTCAAAGTTCGCAAAGAAATATCTGGTTTGGCAAGCCATCTGTACCTGTGGCTTGAAAAGCAGCATTTTCATAGCTTCCGGGACTGTCAACCAAGAAATTTACGTGAAAGAGTGTTTGAATAAACGTCTGCTGCCTTTCCTGAAGAAACACGGTTGTTCCGTACTGTTTTGGCCGGATTTGGCATCTTGCCATTACGGTAAAAAGGCCATGGAGTGGTACGCCGCCAACAACGTGCAGGTGGTTCCCAAGGACAAGAACCCTCCCAACACGCCAGAGCTCCACCCAATTGAGAAATACTGGGCTATTGTCAAGCGGAACCTAAAGAAGACCAAAAAAACTGCTAAGGGCGAGCAGCAGTTCAAGGCAAACTGGCTTTCTGCGGCGAAGAAGGTGGACAAGGTGGCTGTACAAAATCTGATGGCAGGGGTCAAGCGTAAGGCCCGGCAATTCGGATTTGGAAAAGCGGAAGCCTAACTGAATATTTTTCCTGAATTTTATACTAATTGAACTTGAAAAAGAAATTTAATTTGATTTTTTAAATAAACGATTTCACCGATTTACACGCGTTTTCCCATGACCAAATTTTGACCGTATCACCCTTTACCACCAACTATAGAAAATTGAAGGTTCATTTAAAAGTTATTTTTTCATGCTTTTTGCTTTTTGGTCTGCCATAATTTTAGAGATGTAATTTGAAAATCATACAAATAACATTTTAAATAAGATAATGGCATATACAAAATCATATTAGATGCAAGATGAAGTTATACATGGAGTTGTATAAAGTACCCTATTGAATCATATGAAATCATACAATGTTTGAGTATTTTTCCACATGCTCGTATATGGCCTCCAGATTTGTACGTATAGTTGAATTATATGCACTTTATACGATTTATTTTTACCAAATAAAGATTCACATAGCAGAGTATCAATTCAGTAATGTGAAAAAAAAATGTTGGCTGGGGCATTATTCTTTAAATCGGTTTAAAATGTCTCAAATCTATCCTCAACGAAAAAAGTTACAAATCCCAAAACTCATTTCAAAATCTTTCAAAATGTATGGTCTACGAATAACTACATTTTAGAATGCAAGATGTGAGCTTCCGGGTTTCAAAATAGTTTCTTCAACTCTATAATATGAGTATTTTAGTAACAAAGAAGATGAAACTATTGGCCACAAAATAAAATAAAACCAATTTTGGTATAATCAAACACACGTTGGTGATTTTTGGTGACAACGGCGCCGGTGGTGTAGTGGTAAGCGTGATTACCTCTCGCCCCAGCAGGCCTGGGTTCAATCCCAGTCGGCGCCGCCGGGATGTTCTGAGGCATAACATCTCTGATCACGCCTTCCTTCGGATGGGAAGTAAAGCCGTTGGTCCCCGGTTCATGAGTTGATGGGTCGATAGGTAGGGTCCAGGTGTGGGAGCTGCCTTCCTGGCACGTCGGTAGCATTGGTGCTCAACACGGAAAACAAGATCGACGGAAAAAACAAACCAAAGGAAAAAAAAAGAATTTTGGTGAAATCTTAATCACCGCTAAGCATCGGCGTGAAAAAGTGGCGTGGTGGCCATTGGTAACCGGCGCACCGCCGACATCCCGTACAGCGTCGCGCAGGTCTAATCCCAGGCATGAAAACATATTAAAGATTCTAAGAGAAATATTCGACATACTGGCCATAATTTGTGTGTGCCTATAGTTCATTCATTCGTCATAGTAGTTTAAGCAATTAGGCATATTATTCCCATTCTGTTGCTTTGGTTTTACTATACACTACTCTGTTCCGATACCTAAGCTCAACCCTGGACAACAAACAACGCACCTTAACAAAAATACACATAAATTAAGTTTTCACCCTCAACGGCTTCCACTCCCAACCCCAACTCCCCTAGAGCACTGTCAGCTGTCGTCGGTACGGAATCGTCATCATCATCATCGGATCCTGCTTATGATCCCAGCCGAAACAATGAAAGACAAAAAACACAATTTTCCTTTCACTGCAACAACCATCCATGGCGGAAATGTACAAGTCACACCAAGGCATTTACAGCATATTCCCTCCCCTCTAGGTACCACCCATACCTCAATCGCTCAAAACTGAATACATCAGTAGTTGTGTTGGTGTCTACCACCGCATTCGTATTCGGTTCGTGCGCTATATACTGCAAGGATCTGAGACACATTCGCACAGGATCGTGCCTTGTCACGAGGCTAGTGTGCCCTCGTTCACGCCAAAGCGTTTCCTGGCGAGCAGCTTCGAGAGTGCTCGTATGAATTATAGACACACCCAATTATTTGCGCTCTCTTTCGGTTTGCCGGGCCAAAACAGAAATCGGGATTCTTTTCTAACACACGTAGAATATACACGGTACAAGTGTGTGGTACCGTCAGCCACCGTTGCCGTTTAACTAATATCCCATTTGGCATTTGGCGCTGGCGTGGTTTCGCCTAAAATAAATGTTTTACTTAGCAAGGAACACAGTTTTCACAAGTTTTTGAAGCCAGAGTCCCGTCCGGAGTCGAGATTTTCTAGCTGAGCGTGAGCGAAAGGAAAAGTGGGTTGGTAGGTGGGGTGGTGTTCGGTCGGTCGGTTGGGTGTCTGGGGAGGGGAAATTTCTTCTGTATGTTTTTGTTGTTGTCATTGGATTGGTACTCTTTGGTGTGGAGGTTACAATACAATCTCGCGCGTGGACGATCCTTAGCTCAACTTGGATTGGGTGAGCCTTGCCTCTGCTGGCTAGATATTTGGCAACAGAAGAGCGCTAACGAGGGTTGTGTGATCTCGGCGGAAAGAGAAATTATTACAACATAGCACAAGGATCTGCAATCAGGCTGCCGGAAGAGGGGATGGGATGAGGTAGTTGGCATTCCTCTGATGGAGGGAAAACATCCGTATCCTGTGTGACGATGTAGTTGGCAGAGAGAGAACGAGCATCCCCGAGCGAATGGATAACATTTAGTTACGAGTTTTTGCATACGACAGACGCGCGCGCCATTATCATGCATACGTGAGCGCAAAATTTTCACAATTTTCCACAAAGTTAAAATAACATTTTCATTTTTCTCTCGAACGCCGACGTGTGACGTGGTGTGTCTCCGGAAAATTTGAGAGCTCCAGTTAGTCTCTTGAAGTCAACCCAGCCGAACCTATTCGAACTGCGATACAAAGGATACGTGCGTTCAGTACAAATTCGGTCACTACTGTGAGAAGTCTTCACTTTTGCAGATTCAAAAGATCTCTTGAACTACCGTCAATCAAATGTGGATTAGTGGTTTTTATGCTGTTTGAAAAAAATAACAATTTTAGAAGATTGTAATAAAAGTGAAAATAAGTGAAAAATGCACCCTTCAGTTTCGCCCCTTCCGTCGTCATCTCCGTTGGATTTAAGGCCAGTGCTCGGCGGAACAATTATCCCATCCTTGCACCACAACACACATGACTCCAGCCTTAGAGTTCACAGTCCTCCCGGCAGCGGTGGCAACAGTCTGAACCATGCTCATTCACAGCATCATCTGCATCACACTCAACATCACATTCATCATCAACAACAACAACAACAACAGCAACAGCAGAGCACTGCAAGCGGAAATAGCAACAGTAGCACTAACCATAACAGTAGCAGCACTACCAGCAACAGCAACGCCAACATCGGAGGTGGCAGCAGCAATCGGCAGGAAACCAGCGACGGCGAAACAAATAGTGGCGACGGTGCTAATGGAAGTGGTAGTAGCGGTGCGAACGGAACCGGAAACGGCTCGAAATCATCACGCGCTCAAGCACTGGTGAAACCACCCTACTCCTACATTGCACTCATTACGATGGCGATACTGCAATCACCGCAGAAGAAGCTGACGCTCAGTGGAATATGCGAATTTATCATGAGCAGGTAGGTTTTCGGCAAAATTTTGTAACTATAAACTATCAAATTGCCAACACAGGGATCTTAGGGTAGATTCTAGGGCATGTTTGGTGTAGAGTGGCTGCTTTGGGTGCTATCAAATTAACTGGAATTGGTGAGATTAATTATAGAATTCATTCCATTCAATAAGAGTTTGCTGCATCTATTTTCGAATTCCGGCGATGTAAAACGAGTTATCGTCATGCTTTCTCCTTACATCACTAGTATTAAACATAACTACTAAATTGTGTGCTGGATAAACTGTGTAATATTTATAACGCCGTGATTCGAAAGAGGGAAATCGATGAAAAGGTTTAGTTAAATTTAATCAGGAAAACATGATAGGATTTACTATTTGGAAATTTTGTATTAACTAAATTATCGCCTCATGAAAGAACAGTAGCGTTGAAAAACTACGCGGTATTTCATGAAGGTCATAGTAAGTTTATTTTTAACTTTTTCATCACATTAGTAGGGTTAAGATCTAATTTCTGGCCTACTACGCACAAGCAGCGCTTTACCTCTCTTTTTCGAACGAATTTGATGAAAAAGCGGAATTTTTCTACTTAAGATGACTTCCAACGGTATTTACCTTTCCGAATGTACTGTTGAATTTGATACTTTTTAATTCTCAATTCGTCCTCCGAGTTTAAATTTCGTACAAACACATTGCAACGTCATTGGATTTATTTCTTAATACGGATGAAGGCAAAAATAGAACGGAAAAATTGATTTACTAGGAGTGCTTCTTTTGAATTCGAGAAACATTTGTAAGAACCCCGGTAGAAAAAAATATCTCAGTCATTCGAGAGTTATGATCTTGATACTAAAAAAATATATGGAATAGCATGACAGAGGTAAAATATGAAGAAACAATGTCAGAAAAATTTTCCCGCAATATTGTTCCAATCAAAATTAATAACAAAAAACAAAATACTAAAGTGTAAGTTTGTGTTTGGTATGCAAATATCAGGATTTGTTTTTAAAATGGTATTCGGCATTTTATTTTTTGGTATTATTTCAAGATATTTCCGGAGCACTTTGAGATTTGGACGTAATTGCTTTTGTAAACAAACACGTCAATCACAGATTTCTCGCGAATAAAAGAACAATCTCATGAACAAACTATACCAAATGATAGAGGAACCATACCTCTACCTGCTAGTGTTGTTAGTTTTTTAGTATGAGCAAGAAATTGACAAATGACGTGTTTGTTTACAAAAGCAATTACGCCCGTATCTCGAAGTTCTCCAGATTTTAATGCTAATCCATATAAACTTTATTTATAAATAGTAAAGTTTCTAACCGGGAACGCAATAAACTTTGTATTGCAGGTTTTGAACTAAAGTGTCGTACTCTAGGGGAAGTACAACTTGATCTGGAGTAATATTTAGTGTAGAAATTGCTCATATTGGTAGTTATTATAGTTTTTAGTATAAATATTACTGGTATTAACTGTCAAGTGGAAAGCAACAAAAAACATTAACTGCGTAACATTAACGCATACACTCAATGACGTTTCATCGTTGTTGTTTATGTTTACTTCAGCTTTCTGTTTGTTATAATTTTTGTATAGATTTTCGTTTTCGTCTTCGGCTTTTGATGATAAAAACGGCACTGGACATTCCCGCAGCAACAAATCTCTCCAAGTTGCAGGCTCATGGCGAATCGAGCGTAATACAACCACGGAAACATCACTCTGAGGCTCCGTTAACAGGGACGGTGAAGTCAGTCTATTCCCGTTCCATCGGAGGACAGCACATTGGTTCGCAGACGATGAAGAATTCATGGAAATTAATTACTATTTCCTGGGAACGGAAGTGCAGCCGATTTTGTGCACTGAGGTCAGCTATTAAAGAACACCGAATTTATGGAAACAATGAGCGGATTTCGGTGGTGGTGGCCAGCAAGATCATCACAAAATGACTTGCCTCTCGAATGAAATCAATTTTTGATTAAACGAATGTCAAATGTACACTTCAAACTAAAAATAGTAAACAACAACAAAACAACTGTCAGGCTAAGTATAAGATTCGCAAATATCATACATATTAAAATATTTAATATTTCCACCGTCGGTATTGATGCTGATACTTGGAGCTGTCCTTCCCCTAGGTCGTACTACATGATTTATTCATTCAAGTAAAAAAAGATATGTTTAATGTTCTCATCACGGTCGGCCAAACATAGGCGCTTAAGCAGAAGTATATAACTACCCTACAGATAACCTTTATTAGCTGCTCATAAAAAGTCATAGAATGAATAGGGTAGGTGCTTAGGTGTTTCAGTAATGTGGTGTTCCTGTAGTTGTGATAATAGTGGAAAACCATACTAAAAATATTTTGTCGTTAATTCTCTTAAGGTCGTTTCGTAATAACGAGTTTCGTAGATAACACATATTTTCCGTAAATTGTCATCTGGCACAAGGCATATATAACGCCTTATTCGTATTGTACTTCAACTAAATTTCGTGCAGACCAGCAAACTACACTGAAGTCCTTTTTACACGGTTTTTCGCGATTTACACGGTACGTTTTTAACGATTTCTCGACAACGATACAACCTATCGACTTGATTCTAACCACATTATCCGTTTCAAGCTATAGGTAATCGAATGGCATACTTTAAAAAAATCATAATTTTTGGTGTAAATACAGAAATTTTGAAAATATTTCTAAATGTACCATAGCATGCTATAATTAAATGGCATCAAAATCCGACTTTTTTAAAACATTTAAGCATGTGAAAAATCAAAATCTCGTAGGTTTTTTTCTGCACGGTTTTTTACACGGTACATATCCCCCGTGTAAAAAAAGACCTGAGTGTACTGCACTTTTTGTCTTCTAACATGCTCTTCTGTGGCTGCTGCTGACCTCCCACGTGTCCGCTCATAAGCTTTGCTACTTTGCTGCGAGTGATGCTGAAAAGACTGCAAGACGGCTTTAGTTAGTATGAGTTGGTTTTACAGCTATCCGGAAAGGTAGAACCGCTGAGTTGATGTTGGAGATGTGATTACAAGGGACGGATTATATATCTGAAGGGAAATTATTATCCATTTAGAGTATTCAGGCTGACTACCTTCTAGGACTCGTTTGTATTACTTTTGCCGCTGATACACTTGTATGACAAACTATGAGTATGAGCATGATTTGTATAATAATTCAGCCATTCCATAGCAAAACGATAAAGTGGTTCTCAGAATTTCGTAAAAATTGGCAGTTTTGTTCCTTATCGCAAAATATTAGACCTGTATTTTTTATTGTTTCATTAGGGTTACCATTTCCATGTTGGGGTGGTCCAAAAAATCGTTTTTTATTATTATTTATTATTATTTGATAAAATAAACAACTCTTCTGAAGAAGTCAAAACTGCACAGCCTACTGTTTTCAAGTTATATGCATTCAAACATTATAGTTAAAATTAAAACACTTATTTTCATACTTTTTTTTTAGTTCCATTAAACTTGAAAACAGTAGGCTGTGGAGTTTTGACGTCTTAAGAAGAGTTGTTTATTTTATCAAGATAAACAGCTTTGCCAAAGTCGTCAAGTCTTCAAAACGCCATTTCAATGCATTAAAAAAAAGTTATAGAAAAAAAAACATGTTCCACTAAAATTAAGAAATCTCAAAAACACTAAAATATACCTTTCTCAAATTTTGATATTTTGATTTTTAATCATTCCGTTATTTTCAAGGAAAAACATCTTGAAACCCGTAGGTAGTATAAAACAAATGGAGTGATTACAATACGGCTATAGCATAAACATTAATTTTCTATAAGCCATTTGTGAAAAAGCTGATTTGCTTTCATGAAATCGCTAACAAATGCAAAACGTTTTAATGTGGCTTGTATGACGATAATTTATGGACTGAATTGTTTTTACCTGAAACCATTTTGCTTGATCCTATTCCACTTAGTTTTATAACGGCATTAATGATGGAAATGTTAAACGTCAAAATTTGAATCCTGATGAATGTGAGCGTCTTATGTCGTTTTCGTTTTTGCGGTGTAGCACTGGTGTAGTGTAAGCAGGAATAAGCGCGAGTCTTTAACAGCTCAACATCATTTGTTTGTAAACAAAGGTGCATCCTATATCTACACCCTAAAATATTTCGGTGTACGGCAGTGTAGCACCGGTGTAGCTACACCGCAAAAACGAAAACGACATTAGTGGAATACCTGTACAGAGAGAGAGAAGGATTAGTAATTTCCATTTAATTCCACTACCTTATTTGCTTATCCTTGACAGATTCGCGTATTTCGCCTTCAATGTGCAGACTTCTTCATAGTCTCGTACTAATACTCGACTGCACAGTATTTAATACAAGACACTGAAGATGGCTGCATATTGCAGACGAAATACACGTATCTGTCAAGGATAAGCAAATAAGGTAGTGGAATTAAATGTCAAAATTTGTTTATCTTTCGATAAGTTTTGTTGTGCAATCATTGCAACGAGGTTCTACACTAGCACTGAATCAACAAGTTGTGTGACATCATCGATAAGGGCGATTTTCTTCCATTGGAAGCAGGTAATAAGGAAGTGTATCTATATAATTTGAAACAGGAAAAAGCTTAATCGTTCCCGAAAACTTTCGGATGATGCGACGAAGTTTACGTGCGCTTGCTTGGATTTTTTGCAACAGTTGACCCTTTCGCCGAATGAAACCGCTGCTATGCTTCGGAAGGCAGCCAATTTCCAGCTGATTGACAGCTTCTGAAGTTTCCTGACGGCAGTTTTTCGCAGTCCCAGTTTGGCACTGATGCATGCTATTCGGATCATCATCGAAACGTAATTTCTCGAGAAGGATGGTCTGTTTTTATTCAGAACATTACGCAAACGCCATGGGCAATAATTTGTGTATTTCCATCCATTTTAAGCGTCTAATATAACGGCTTTCAGTCCTTTGTGAACCGCATTCACATCACATTCAGCTCTGTTGTTGTCGACTGGTTTTGTCAGAGCTGATGAGTCTCTCAGGAAGTTC